ACACTGATTTCACGGACGCGTTTAGGTGTTCACGGCCGTGAACTGGACAATGCGTCCATGAACTGGTCACTTTCGGGCAAATATGAAGACATCAGCGGAGAGAGAGAAGGGAGAGTTGGTTTTGGTAGAAGAATTGGTTTCTTTCTCTAGGGTTAGAGCCCAAAACACCAAAGGGGAGTTCTAGTGAGAGAGAGAGGCAGAGAGTGCTAGAGTGATCTTGGAGCATCATTGGAGGCTTGGGTGGATCTTGAAGACAAGGTTTCAAGCCTAGAAGAAGAAGATCTTGAGCTCAAATTTGTAATCCCTCTATCTCTAGAAACTCATTCTTTTCTCTTGAGCGTTGTAGATCCCTAACTAATACTTTGTAATTACTTGTTTAGATTGAATGATTAAGTGTGGTTTTGCATCAATTTGAGTATTAGAGGTGTTTTCATGGTGATTGTGCTTAGTTTTGCTTTCCAAATCTTGTGTGCTTGCCTAACCTAGATTAGAGGAAAACCACACCTTTTTAGGTAGGCTTGATAAGCTTGGTTTTCTTGGGCCCTTTCTGCCTACTATCTAGGTTAGAGACCCTTGACTCAAGTTTGCATCTAGGTTGGTTGTGATTAAGCCACTCAAACTCCGGTTTGAGGGAGAAACCTAGGAAACCACTACAGACTGAGTGAGAGGATCGATCCCGTGACAAATCGATCTCTAGTGAATCCATCTTGTGAAAAATGGATCACTAGCTTCTCCTCCTAGTGGTTCCCCTAGACTTGGTGAGTGTATCGATCATGTGACAAATCGATCGCTAGTGAATTGATCCCGTGAGAAATCAATCACTAGTTGCTCACCCCCCGCGGTTCACAACCACCTACGCCACACGACTCCATTCAATCCAATGAGTCATGGTAGCTAGTTAGGGGGAATCAATTCCTGGGTGAAGCTCCCTTAGTTAGAATTTTCCTTTATTTACTTTTCTTTGCTTGTTTAGTTTGTAGTTCCATTAGACCTAAACCCTAAAGTTGCTTGCTAGATAACAACCTAAGCGATTGAAGTAGGGGTACATGGACTGGCCCGGGCTGACAATTTAAATACTTGCTCTATACTGCACCCGACTAGAATTTAATAACTTGGACTCTAGTCGGGATTAATTTTTGGTGTAGTTCTGTGCAAGTCATCAAGCTTGTCGGCATCGACTTGATCTTCATTTTGCACCATTTGTTCACTATACTATTTATAGCTTCTATAACATTGTTTCCTTCTTCACCTTCTGGAAACTGAGGCTCCTCCTTAGTGTTGCTTTATTTTTGCAGATGAGTCGTCTAGTAAAATATAGCATGCTCACCACATGTAAGATCAAACATACACGACACGGATAGAGCATATTGCAGTCTACAAATATATAATGTCATACCTTGCATACAGTCTCAACAAACTTTTCAAGTTTATCACTATCCTCTTTCTCTTCATTGACAATGTCTTGCCCGTCAAAGTAATCAACACCAGTACATTAATGTGGTTCAGTTTCCAGGTCCCGCACCTCCTTGAACATTTTGCTATGCTCACTCACATGGTTGATTTTTGAATTGTATTCTTCTTATGCTTTCAGCATGGCCATCCTCTGTTCTCACAGCGTCTGTATGGCTGCAATCAAAATGTAAATAGGGAAGAACATTAACGAGCTAATCCACTAGCGATCATTTACACCTTATAGCATGAAAGTATGAAATATGAAGCAAAGCGTGGTAAAACATGAATGAGAGATTATACTTGTACCTAATGTACAATATCGCCCACATGCCACATGTTCCAATGTGTGAATCGCAACAAGGTCAACAGGGACATATGGGAGGTCTGGCAGATCACCATTGTCTCTCTATCGTCCTTGTTACTTCATCTTTTTCATGGGAGGATCCCGTTGAATATGAGGGACGCTGATAGCAATACCAGGGAGGCATGGCTGAGTTCCCACAACATATCTGATTAATTGTGTTCCTCCTACCACCTCTTGTTCTCCAATGGTGAGGTGGCCCTGCTTCAGTAGCTCCTCGAGTTGTTGCTTGACATCTTTGTAAAGTATTTGTCTGCAAGTTGGAGGAGCCATGGCATTTGAAGGAATTCAGTTCACTCGGTCAAGAATGGAGTGCTGGGACTTAAGCAGTGGAACACAGATGAAGTCAAGCGCAAGTTGTATTAAGTTCACAGCCAACAGAAGACCACAAACCTCATAAAAGGCATAACACAGGATTCATGTAACAGCGGTTGCCATGCGTAATTAAATAGGGGGTTAACACTTTGTGACAGTTAAGTTATGTACTGAGTAACTATGGGAATTAACTGTTCATTTCTCGTGGTACACTCGTAATTCATGAGAATTGACTATTCCTTTACACCATTTATATTCAATTTTCAGCAGCAGGCCCTCATACTTCAATGCAAATCATGTGTACCACAACATAAATGAAGCATGCCATAAACCTAATTAAGCATGCCATAAATTCTTAAATGTGAACCACTAGACTAGTAAAGCAGACCATTACTTAACAAAAGGGAACCACAAGAGCACTAGTTAGGTCGAATAGCAATGAGGAGATACAAAGAATGATCTCAATGATGAGATATTGTGTAAGAACCCTCGGTTACTATGCGAAATTAACTTGGGGTTAACACTTTGTGACAGTTAAGTTACCATACTAATACTTATATATTTAAACTAACAATTTGGTAATTAGTTGTTTTTTTACTCGTTCACTTATAACAACAGTGGGGGTGAAAGGACAGTTAATTAAATTTTTTCTTCTTCTTTTAGTAGTGGCCCAAGGATAATTTTCTGTGGACCATTTTGATGGAGGCCCTAATTGGTCAGGAAACCAAACAGAGGAAAACCATTCAACCAAACCAAACCAATGACCCAAATTAATAAACCCAAACAATCCGAATACGTTGTTTGGTACAATGGATCCATTTTAACAATACATTGTTTGGTTGTTGAGATTGTAGTTTATGGATTGATTTGCATAAAGTTACTTCAAGGGAAAAAGACAAATTTACCCTCAACACTTCGTATAAGACAAAAAACTATTAGGGATACAAAGGGATTGAAAAAGTGGACACAAATCTAAACCCAACAATCACAACAATCTCAACTTCTTTTATTTGAGATTGTATAATGCATACTCTTTTGTGACTGTTAGTGAGACCTACCTGAAACAAAGCATGCATTGCTTTACACTTTGCACAAATAAATCATTGTATGGTGCACAATATTATTTGGTCCCTAACTAAGGGGGTCGTTTGCTTCAAGGATTTTTACACGAGGGTTTTGTCTACGATGTGGGATTTAAAAACCTTGGGATTTATTAGGGATTTTGGGCATTATGGATTTGAGGAAATCCTTTGTTTGTTGAGCTATTTTTATCATGGATTTGATGATTTTAGATTTATAACTTAAAAAGGTCAATTACCTTATTACCCTTGTCCAACTATAAAAAAGCAGGCTCTGACTCTTTTGTTCTGTTTCTTTCCTTCTTCATAAGTCCCCACGAAAGCATCTTTTTCACCATCATTTCTCCAATCGTTCGCATCTGCAGAGGAAACGACAAGATGCGTGCGAATCTGGGATCCGCCCGTTTCTTTCGCTGCTAATGTTTGGTTCGAAAGAAGGTATGTTTGAACCATCTTCCATTCCGTTCTTCCCATTTTATTCTTGATTTTGAGTTCGATTTCTCCTTTGATGGTAGTGGGGATTTCAATTAGCAATTCCAGTCATCTCATGGAAAGTAAAGGAAAGATTGCCACAGTTCTAGATGCATTCTACTATGAGGAGGAAAAGGTTCTATGTGATTGTGGGCTGAGGGCAGCTAGAAGAATCTCTCGTATCGCTGGGAACCCTAACCGCAAGTTTTTTGGTTGCCCCATGTTCAGTCGCTCAAAGGATAACGACTCCTGTGATTACTTTGAGGGGTCGTTTGGATATGGAAATGTAATGCAGTAATTGGACCAAATTACTACATAATGCAGTAATTGGGTTAAAAATCCACGTTTGGGAGAGCAAAAATTGTATGGAAATTGGCTTCAATTACCACATGCATGGTAATTGAGAATACTACACCTCCCCCTAGTAATTTGACATTACCACGTTTTCTTACTTCTTTTTTCAAATTCCACACCATCAATTCCCACAAAACCAAACCCTATCCAAAAGTGATTTTTTTTTTCAATTTCCACAAGTCAATTCCTTGGTTTTGTAAAACATGGAAATTCAGACAAATTTCAACTTTCTAAAATTTCCACATCCAAACGACCCCTGAGTGGAATGCCATTAGAGATGTGGTATTCAAAGAAACTACATCGTTGTCTGAAATGGTTTCAAGGTTGGAATCTGAGAATAGGGAGCTTTGCAGTTTATTAGAGAGGGCTATGAAAGATGTATCTGAAAAACATCAGCAGAACGAGTTAACTATTAAGCTAGAACTCATCAAGCAGAGGGTAGAGCGTCTAAAGTTAGAGGGTACTAGTAGGAAGTGATTGGAAGTAGATCATGTTGTTGTATTTCATGTTATTTTCAGCTCAGATATGAATTTGTAAGATTAGTATGTACTGTGTTATCAATGAATTGGAATGAAAACCATGTTTGTTCTTTTACTCTGAAATTCTCTTTAAAGAAGCATGTTGATGGGGAAATAAACAACATTCTTAACTGAAATATCCAGGTTGCTTAGTGATGGAGCAATACACCTACATTCTTACACAAAGGACCTGCAAAATACAGCCTGCTACAAAGGTTTCAGCAGCTTGTATACTCCAACCAAAATTACGAATACAACTCTAATCCTTGCAGCATAATCAACACATGTTCGGATGTAATGAAACTTCAGCAAATTGACAGTGTGTCCAACACCAACAGTTGCAACAACCTAATCTAGGATGATCAAACCTTGCACAAAAACAAAATTTTCACATCCATACCACATGTGTTTTGCAAAATAAAGTACCAACTAGTTCATACACAATCCTAATTAGCGTAGCAGATTCTTGATGAAGTAGCATCGGTCTTCATCGCTTTCCAAAGCATAGAAAAGTTTAGTCTTTGGATCATTGTCTACCAAAGCCATAGTAGCATCAATGACTTGGCCACGAGTGAGTCCATCAATCTTGCTTATCTCCTTGATCAAGGCAGCCTGCTTGCTGTTGTCACCATCTCGATCACCTGTTATGGATCCAAGTGCTTCCACAGCTTTGAATAATATCGGTTTCAGCTCACCAAGTTGAGATGACACATTAGCTATAGCTGAATTAGTGGTCATGCCACCCTTCTTAGCCCTTTTCTTAGCTATTTGGATGCTGCCAACTCCATTTTTGTGGTTAGATGGAAGTTTACGAGTAGATGGAGTTGCTTGTGTTTCAGCTTCCACAACAGTTGGATGTTGCATATCAATACCCTCATTTATTATGTCCTCGAGTATCTATGTGCATCTCTGGTCATCTAGATCAATTGGTGTGTCGAAGCCATCCAGATGTAGGAGATTTTCAGGTGATGGTGGTCCGTCAGAAATACCACCTGTAACTCTTCCAGTTGTTGTCCCACCTTTCCCAAAGATCTCAAGTAGCTCGTTATAGAAGGGAAAAGGCACTTTATTCAGGTTTTTGACGTTCGGATGCACCTACGTGGGCAAACACAACCATTCGCGGTAAATTAGAATAAAAAACTAAAGAACAGGCTTTGATTATGTACAACAATTAGTGTTTCATACCTTTAGAAATCTGCAAACACATCATCATCGACAATTGGTGTACATGTGGTCTCATGCCAACCTTGTCAACTCTTGGAACGAAGCAAGTGACCTGCCATGAAATCCCTTTTCAGCTTCTTGTGCCTTGATCTGATGTTTGGATCAGCTTTCACTCCGCAACCAGGGGCCTTCTTGTTCATCATAATCTCTAGCTCAGTAAAGGATCCACTCTTGAAATTGCCATTCTCAACTTGGTGCTTATGAACTAACTCCTGCATACAGTCTATGAGAATAGCATCCAACATTTCTGTCCATGAGAAATATGGCCCCTTAGGTTGAGGGACTTGGCTGCCCTCTCCTTCTCCTTCTCTTTCTCCTTCTCCTAATGTATGCTTTCTCTTCCTCGGCATCCTGTAAAAACATAATAACAACTACAATATAATAACAATAAAGAGCAACTGCCTTCACCTACTCATACAACCAAAGAACAAACCAGCAACTGCCTTCAACTTAATACAACAAACCAGAGAATGTCATGCAACATTTAATACAACAACATAGTGTCATACAACACTTAAAATAAATAGCAGAGTGTCGTACAACACTTAAAATAAACAGCAGAGTGTCGTACAACAGTTAACACCCAGATAACAACATCGAAAAGCTAAGAAGTCACACAACTTCATCCTCTACGTTTCCTATTCGACCACATTTCCTTTGCCATATTATCCCTAAATATAGTCCACTCATGTGAAGGCCGAACCACTGTTATAACATCCTCAATCTGCTCAACATAAGCTAATGGGTATTGCTCAGGCTCTTCATCGTGATATTCCCTCTCGAAAATGTCCACTCCTTGCTCTTTCTTGATGAAGTTATGTAATAAATAGCAAGAATTAATAACTTGAACCATCACTTTAGGGGAGAACCAACTTGAATCTCTCAGTATGCCCCCATCTCATTTTGTTAACCCAAAATGCCCTCTCAACATAGTTTCTTGCCCCAGCATGCTTCATATTAAAGTATTCCTCTGCCTTTGTTGGCCTTAACCCCCCCCCCCCCCCCCATTCCTTAAGATGATACCTCTGGCCCCGGTATGGTGTTAGGAACCCCTCACAATTGCTATATCCTAGATCACATAGATAGTAAGTTCCTAGTAAATGAACGAAATCAGTTAAGACTAGTGGTAGCATATTCAAAATTATTTTCATGGGACTATCTCAAAATTACCTTTTGGCACTCGCAACCCATTCGGCCTTAATAAAGCATCCCTAAGCACCTTCCCATCATGCGCCGAACCTTCCCAACTAGCTAAGCAATACATAAACTCTACATTTTGATTAACCACTCCCAACACATTCATTGTAATTGTCCCCTTGTGGTTTCGATATTTAGGTTGGTCTTCATTCCTTACACGAACTTTAATGTGTGTTCCATCTAGTGCCCCTAAGCAACCCTAAAGAGCAAAACAGTTTGCTTAATCTACTGTTAGACAATTCTACTACATCATCACAAAATAAAGAAGATATTGTTTCACCTTAAAGTACTTCCACTTCACGTCATCCGAGTTCTCTGGAGTAGGTTCAGGCTGTGGAAGTAAGATGGGATGGAGTCGAAGAACTCCACGAAGGACCTTGTGAAACACTTTGAAAATAGTTTGCCCCGATTGAAAAAAATATAATTGTAAAGTTCTGTTTTTTTGCATTGTGGCCAATTGTGATAAAAAAAGATCATCACCATCTCATCTATCTCTACATTGTCAGTACCTTTTAACCCCCCTCACTAACAAGTAGGTCACACAACTTCCGAAACATGGTATGATTCATTCTAACCTTGTTAATACAATGAGTGTCAGACAACCCAATTATGCGTCTCATATAGCGTCTTCTATCGTTCTCACGATCAAATACACTATCTAGAGGTCGATTGGGAGGTCTGCTAGTATCTAGATTTTTCAAAAGTAATAACTCAAACAGTTCAAGCAACAATGAGAAATAGGTCAACAACAACCCTAAGACAACTCTAATTGCTGCCACAGCTTCTCGGTTGCGCGCATTAGGCACCCTGTTCAGTCTAGACATTCCTTTACATAACACAAAATGGATAATAATTAGCTATGAACAACAACTACTGAACTGCCCAACCAAGACAGAACTCACCAAGCGAAAATCATAACCTAATAAGAGTGCTACAAATGAACCAAAATAGCACAAAAGCATAATGCTTCAGAGGAAACGAAAAGGGATGCTGGGAATCAGAGCTTTGTAGCAGAGACCTACTTACCTGTGTGTTGTGTTCGCCGTTCAAGGATGACGGCGACAAAGTGCTAGTTCAGCCGACGGAAGCGCACGCCCTTCTTCGGCGGTGAGCGCCAATCTTCCCGGAATCCCGCGTCGCAGCTCTTCTGTTTTAGGGTGCCGCCTGCTGGTGAGAAGTGGGCAATATGAGAAAGTCGAACAGCTAGGCCGGCTGATAACATAGAAAAAGGGCAAGGTTGGAATAATGAATAATAATGGGGATATAGTAGTAATTTGAGGTTATGGTTTTTCAGCTTATCTCCAAATCCCAGGGTATGAGGTGGAATTTATAAAACCGTGTGGCCCATGGATTTGGAGCAAAAAAAAAACCCAAATTCGTGGGCCCACAGATTTATCTAAACATATTGTCAAAGCAAACAAAAAATTGGATGTAAATCCATGATGGTTGGTTTTTTTGTACCAAATCCATGATGCAAATCCTTGAAGCAAACGACCCCTAAAGAGTCATTTTGAGGTTGTGAAAAGCACAATCTACACCTCCAAAGAATTGATTTTTCAAATACACCCAGTCACTCAGAACATCAATTTAGAATGCACACATTGATAGAATTCATTAATTTAAAGAATCACAACCTCCAAACGACCTCTAACTAGATAAAAAAACAATGGAATGTGAGATTACATTTTCAACCGACGTCAAAATTAATCGTCCATACAATGACACAAGAGACGATGAAGTAAAAGATAAAGTAAAGAGATACATTGTAGGACTCAACCAATCTTGGCTCTTCCATAATCGTCTCGACCTAATGATATCATTCAATTTTCAAAGATGACATAGCAAATCACAGACAATGGAGATTGCTCAATAAACAACATCATTTATAATTGTAACTTCATCATCCATTTTATTTAATGATTTAGCGAAATTACTTTACAAACAAGAAACTAAATTCTACCAAAAACAAACAAGAATCAATATATTTGACGATCAATCATAATGCTTATAATAACACTTCCATGTTTGTTCCATTTTTTATATTCTTCACTTATTCTCGTTTACAAAGTAAAAGGAGTGTCAGAGAGTGTAATTATTTAGCAGCGCAAGGGAAATGAAGTCAAGTATATAAACAAAATGACTGCAATCCAACCTCCTAACATGTAAGCTGATCCTCCGTCTTCCTCCTCCAATCTCCCTCATTCTCTTCCCTATTCTTTCTCTGACTGAAACCCAACAATGAAACCATATCTGCCTCTATCTGACCCACGCCATGATCTCTCTTCCGTCTTTTCTCTTTCAACACCAAAAAGACGCAGACGATGAGTATGTGGAGATTATCGCCGAGGGATAATCAATGTCGGCTCTCTCTACTGTTGCCCTAATCCATTACAATGTCCTGCCTGATTCTTCTTCTTCTTTGTGAGATTGTGGTAAATACCCACACGGAAGGAATAGCTTTATACCCATATAGTCACTTAATTAGCAAAGTTGACAATCAATTTTTGCCAGAAATTTGACTAATCACCTCGTTTTATTGTCTTTTTTCATCTCAATGTTGTATTGGAGGCAGGATAGTGGGGAGTTGCAATATGTAGACGTCTAAATACAGCACTGAGGGGCACCATATGCAGACTGCAATTGTTGTGGAACCATACTTCATGTTATGCCTCTTCTGCGCCACATTTACACCTACATATTGTGAATCTTCCCTTAGGAAAGTACGTATTGTGAATCTTCCTTGAGTCATGTGCAGTAGGTTTCTTAAAACACCACATCAACACAAACCATTTCCATATTAATACAACCAATTATCATAAACAGTTCATAAGTAGTTCAAAAAGAACAAAAACATCAAAAAACAAAACCTAACAGTTCTTCTGAAACGACCAGATCCATTTTGAAAACCAAACCATAACTCAAACCACAAAACCGGTTACTCCGGAGCAACCAAACCACTTTTTAAAATAAACAAACTGACAATGTTGAAGATTGTTATGGAACAATCCAAGTAGCACATCGGTAATACAAGGAAAGAAACCCTTGTATATTAGAGTCCACCTAGCCCAATTAGTACGAGACCTTTTGGGGAGGACACCCAAGAGTAAAATCGTGCGGGCTTGGCCCAAAGCAGACAATATCGTACTAATTGAGCGGCCCAGTTTGACAAGTGGTATCAGAGCCTGGTTCGGTTGGGGCGGTGGATGTCAGTTTGGTGGACCCTCTTGTCAAACACTGGGGTGCTCAATTAGTACGATATTGTCCGCTTTGGGCCAAGCCCGCACGGTTTTACTCTTGGGTGTCCTCCCCAAAAGGCCTCGTACTAATTGGGCTAGGTGGACACTAATATACAAGGGTTCCTTCCCTTGTATCTCCGATGTGGCACTTGGATTGTCTCATAAAAATCCTCCCCTCAAGACAAGGACCACGAACTTCGTGTCCTCACCTCAACCATTATCTTGATCCGCCAGACGCCTTGTATCTATGGGCTTCTCGGTACAAGGACTTTCCAGACGCGGAACTCTCTTTGATCCGGCAAACAGACGTGGATCTTTACACCTGAAAAACGTGGACATCCCTCGATCCGCCAGACCAGATGTAGCCCAAACGTGGATCTCTCCCTCGAGCCCCTAACAAGTGGTATCGATGGGCTTCTCGGTACAAGGACTTTACCAGATGCAGCATTCTCTTTGATCTGCTTTCCAGATGCGGACCTCTCGTTTGATCCGCCAAACCCAAACGTGGATCTCTCCTGGATCCACCAAACAACCCAAACGCAGATCTCCCTTGATCTGCCAAACAGACGCGAATCGCAAATCCCGAGGCCACCGAATGAGGGTCCATCAAACTGACGTCCACTGCCCCAACCAAACTAGGGTCTGATACCACTTGTCGAAACTGGGCTGCTCAATTAGTACAATATTGTCCGCTTTGGGCCAAGCCCGCAAGGATTTACTTTTGGGTTTCCTCCCCAAAAGGCCTTATACTGATCGGGTTAGGTGGTACTTGGATTGTCCCACAACAAAGAATTTCAAACAAAAAGCCCCAACACTTGGGCTATAACAAATCCAAAAACACTTGACCCACAAATCTCGAACCTTGAACCTCCAGTTTATACTCATAATCATGATACATAAGACAACTACAAAATCTAACTCTAGCTCCTCGCTAAGCTCCCTGCGACCTCGCCAATGCTAGTGTGGCTTCTCGCCTCGCCCTGCCTCTTCTCAAAATCCTCATCCGTTAACCCTTCCTCAACCCGCTAAGTGAGAAGGGGTCAGTCTCATCGTTACTTCCTAAGGTCTTTGCCCTAGGTGGACTTCCTACTAAACACATTATTAGGGTTCCTGACTTAGACAAAAGTGGTTCTCGCTTTCATCCTTTATACTTTGTTATCAAACAGTCTATAAGAGATCTCTACTCTCATCTTATCTTTAGAATTTCCTTACTTATATTCTTAATCCATAGACACCAACACTAGGGACCACCACGTTACGTCTCGTTGTCCGGTGTCCCTACCCTAGTATGCAAACCGCGTTACGTCTCGCCATCCGGTTGCATACCCAAACTTGACAATGGCAATGCGTTACGTCTCGCCATCCAGTCCATGCCCGGTCAACTACTGCGTTACGTCTCGCCATCTAGTAGTGACCCTAACAAACATGATCAACTATTGCGTTACGTCTCGCCGTCCAACAGAGATCCGACCATCTACCGCGTCCAATAGTGGCCCAACCGCCCGGGGGTTCATCTTACCATTAACCAACTATTACAACCATACATTCATACATAGCATAACGCGTGTCTCCGCCCTTATAGGCGGTGGGATGCCTCATTCACATATCGCGCATTACTCAAAAATTAACTAATTAATAACTTGAACGAAAAGCATAAACTAAAAGACCTGCGGCAGAGATTTTAACCCCTTTACACTCACCTCGAAAAGATGACTCCTCGATTCCTTCCTCGAAGAAACCGCTCCTTAACCGGATTATCTTGGGGAAACCTATTAATAAGAATCCATTTTCTTAGACGACTTTTCTCGATTTAAAACCCCTTTTGAATCACTAGAACATCCTCTCCTCAAAATCCAGTCTTCGAGCCTCA